GCACGCGCACCGATATCGGCCGCCAAAACATACCGTCTGGAAATGGCACTTTTGGCATAAACTTTTTGCCGAAAGTGCCATTTTCCTGCTTTCTTTCCTCCCCGCTGGGCGCTGCTCTTGTGTTCCAGCGGAGAGGAGAGAAAATGTGACAGGCTGCCGTGCGCTGCAAGGCAGGAGAGCGCTGTGAGCAGGCGGCGTCTCTTCTCCCACACCGCTCAGCCTCTTATCACAGTCCGGCAGAGCCGTGTGTGGGCGGAGACAGGCTGCGCTGTCACAGGAGGCTGGGCTCTCCTCCCTACAGCGCTCGATCAGCCTCCTGTGACAGCGTGTCAGAGAGGAGAGCAAGGTACAAACACTCAGTGATCAGTGATCGCTAAGTGTATTGGACATAATTGAGGACATGGTATGTTAACTATAGCCTCAATTATGAATGAATGGGAGTAAGCTACATCCTGTTCATTCATAGTTGTAGTTATAGTAATCATACCATGTCCTCATGTTATCAATGAACAGGAACACTCATAGAGGATGTGTGTGTGTTAATAAAGTTGTGTGTAAAAAAAAAAGTAATACAAAAATGAAAGATTCATAAAAAAAATGAAGCATAACATTTATTTAAAAAAAAAAAAAATTAAGTCCCCGCCCCCCACATACACAGGCATATATGCGCCAGGTGCGCCTACGTGCCGCACATGTTGCATATCGCCGCAAACGTCGGAGTGAGAGCAATCATTTTAGAGCCATTAAGGCCGGGTTCACACCTGGGCGTTTTACAGTGCTGATGGACGCGCTGTAAAACGCCCAGCAAGTGAAATCTCATTATTTCCTATGGGCATGGTTCTCACTTGGGCGTATTTCAGCGTGTCGGAACGTGCTGAAAAAGCCCTACTCCCAAAGAAGTACAGGAGCTTCTTTGGGGCGTATTTCTGCATGTATCCATTAGGATACAGCCGGATAGCCCTCGTAAAGGTTTTGTGGGCTGCAAATCGCGGTTAAAACATGCACCCCAAAACGCGCGTCATACACGCATATTTCGAAGCCTAGGTGGGAACCCAGCCTAAAGGAGAACTATGAGTTGAGTGCTTTTCACTCACCTCATAGTTCTAGCCGACCTGTGACAATGAGACTGTCGCAGGTCGGCTCAGTAGATCGGGAAGTCGGTGAACACATACCGGCGTTCGCTCACTTCTCGATCCTGTCACGGCACAGAGCCGTGACAGGGGAGGGGCTGGATTCCCCCCTCCCCGTTCCGATCCGCCAGCGCTGACTGGCCGAACGGATGGGGGAGAGGACAGGTACAGCTGGCTCTGCCTCTAGATAGGCAGAGCCAGCTGTCACTCATGCAGCTGGGCGGTTCCAGACATAATTGTCTGGGAATCCGCTTCAGTTGCGGCGTCTCGGTATACCGCGAGCTGCAGCTTGCGGTATACTAAGCCTAGGGTGACGGGAGGACGCTAATTTGTGTCCTCCCGTTACCCTAAGGAGAACTATGGGGAAAATCGCTAACCCCATAGTTCTCCTTTTTAATCACTGATAACACTAAACTGATGAACAGTAAAAGCGTTTTAATCGTCGCCTATGGGCGTTTTTTTCGATTTTGCGAGTTATATATACATACATATACATATACATATATACACACACACACACACACTAAAAATAAAGTGAGGGTGTCTCCCTTTTGGGTCTCCAAGTACCGGTCCGCGGGCCAACTCCGGCCTGCAGCCGGCTGACATGTCAGGCATGCGATCTTGCGGGCGCAGCTCCACGGTCTGCATCTGTGTCGGATGCAGACTGCAGAGCAGCTCTTGTCAGCTCTGGCTTCCTTCGGCCCAGAGCTCTGACAGTCCTGAGCTCCGGCCGAAAAAAAAAACGGCCCGTGCGGCATTCGTCTTCCGACCACGCTATGTGTCAGGAACTTGCGTTTTTCTACAGCAGGAATCCCTAATCTGCCATTTACAAGGGGCGACCTATCATAAGATAAGAATTATCATAAGATTATTTAAGAGGGTGCGTTTAGGGGCAGAGTTAAGGCTGAGGCAGGGTAAGGGTTAGGTGGGGCAACTGGTGGCTAGTAACTCTTAAGGCCTGGTTAGTAGCTCAGGACTTGAAATTTTTGAGCCCTATAATATATACATACAGATGACACTCAAATAATACACAGGGACTCATACACATGCAGAATCACATACATACACGCAATAGTTTGAACATGATGGACCTGTGTCTTTCTTCAACCTCACCTACTATGCAACTGTGAATTGCAGGGCTACACAGCACACACAAGTTACACAGAATGCATGCATGGGTGGGAAGAGGGAAAAGGTTGAAGTGTCTGTTCTGTTTAGTGTGACTTCTCTACCTCCCACTTACTGATAACAGTAGTGTGAGTTGGATGGCACAGATAATTCAGCATGCTCCTCTCCCATACCCCTGCCCCCCCCCCCACACTTCCAACAGCACTGTTATGCCCTATGTGCTGTGCCCAACCTCCTCACATCTTTGGCAACTAAACGTTACTGACACAGACTATAGGGAGGGGCTGCAACAGCGGACTGGGCATAGCTAGGCAGAGATGGGAGACCTAACTTTTGAGAATGTTGCTCTCCTAGCTCTAGTAGCAGGTGCATTGAGGTGAGCCGTTAGCCTGCTCTCGGGGAGCTTGCCGGAGCGACCAGTCTCCAAAAGGTGGCTCCCTTTTTGAGCATAAGAGCTGTATTTAACAATTATATGCCACATGCACAGGAAACACTAAAGAACTTTTGCTATAGTGAGTGCTACTTTATATTTTTGGCTGGCTGGAGTGGGGATTTAAGTTAGAATTACAATATTGTTAGCACTATATTTCCTAAATCGACCTAAATCATTTTCAGAAAAAAAATGTTTCATGTGCTCTTTTAAGAATAAAACACGTTTACAACAAATTGTCCTGAGTCCCTAGTTTAGAAAACTTGTTTGTTTGCATATTAGAGGCCTTCACATCTTTAGGAGAGTTATTGTGAATAGTGCAGAGAAGTAAATAGCGCTTAACAATGATAGAATAATAGATTTGGACTTGAATCCTTCTTTAACCTTAATTTTGGTTTTCTTCTTTTCCTAGAACTGTGCTCACTGCCAGGAGCCTGGAGCCACACTGGGCTGCTACAACAAAGGTTGTGCCTGTTGCTACCATTTTCCATGTGCCATGGATTCAGGTAAAATGTACAAGTTGTCAGAGATGTATTCTATTTTAGTAAAATTAGGCAACAAAAGATGTTTTGACACTTTAATGCATATCTCAACCCAAAACCTGAAATATAATATATTGCAACTTATCAGTCCTTAGATGTGATGGTTGCATTCATTTTCATTTTTTTCCTTTTATTTTCACCTGTTGATCCAGAATGGATTTTTCTGGAGATTTTCGTACAGTACCCATTATTAAAATATATTTTGGAACTTTGTAACAGTTGTAATGCTCAAGGGAAAAAATCAAAATCCAGTGTGAAGGCAAGATTGAAAAATGTGGCAATCTGTGGAGTCAATTAAAATGATCCATGTCCATGTATTTCTCTAAAAGTAAAAAAACTTCAGTTTTATTATATATGATAAAACAAGGCTTTAATGCTTACTGTTGACACCATCAGCTTACTCTGCTCTTTTAGACTCTCAGAAATGAAAATGATATGCCTCAGCAATACCTTTTTGGCAAAGAAAATGAAGCTCAGTATCTTGGCCGTTTAAAAGTCGAGATGCATCATTTTGCTTTAAGCATTTTTTTGGGGACAGCTCTAACGTGTTAGAATATTATACTACTACGTTAACCTCCCTGGCGGTCTGATTATCTCAGTATTTTTATTTTTATTTTTTTTTCTATTTTTTACTTTCAAATTTCCCACCGGTTCCGCCCCCCTGCGGCGCCGGCGCTCGCAGGGAAGGAACCCAGAAGACTGGTGCCGGCATCGGCCGGAGGACTCAGCGGGGCTCGTAGGGACAAGGTAAGTGACGCTACAGTGTAATCCTTAGTGTGGCTCGGGGGGTACCGCTTTTGGTACTGAAAATTAACCCCGAGCCACACTTGGGATTAGCGGCAGGAAGGTTAAGGCACCACCAACATGATGCATGCAAATGCCTGTTAGATTTCAGATTGAGATTGTCTCTTTGTGAATAGATTCTAGGTCCAGGCCCTTTTTCTGTACTAAATCAAGCAGGGAATGATTAAAACCTGTCAGTATGTTTGTAATTTTTTTTTTTTTAAGGTTGTGATTGGAATAACTGTCCCCATCTTTCTGCTTTGATGATGGCCATCAAATTTTAGCTTTCCAACAAAGGTGACACACAAACAGCAATATATAGCTGATGTGGGCTTAACCACTTTTACACTCTAATCCAGACTTTGAAACAAATATATACATAAAACATAACTTTTTTTTTTGCTGCTGCACCATTTTTCTATTTTCCCACCTGTTTAAATTTGCAGTTTTAGATTAAAAAGTGACTAAAGATCCACAAACGATATATTTCTGAAGTCATCTAGAACCTATAGTGTAAAAAAAATAATAGTTATTTCCATTAATATTTGTGCTTATCTATATGAAATCTAGATTTCTTTATAGTTCAATAACCCTTTTGCTGCCAAGCCCTCTGAAACACTTTTAACCTCAGTTGGCCACACCATTTTTGCAATTTTCCACCTTTTTTATTTTATTTTATTTTTTTAATTTTAAACAATAGATTTTTATGAAGAAAAAGGTCAGCAATAGATGACAACAATAGTCAGAGATATAATAAAATCGTACAGATCTTCCAAAATTGACATATCAGTTGGGAAAATTATATTTATATAAAGGCACGGTAAGTATCCTAAATTCCCAAGAACATACAAGGTATGGGCCATCTATGTAGACCTTTTAAATCAACAATATAATCAAAAGCCAGAAAGAAAGAAATGGAGAAGTAGAAGAAAGAGAGAGAGTATCGGTCAGCACGGTTCTGTGCGACCGGTAGAGCAGAAAGGGTCAGGATGGAGTAGGCAGAGCATATACACTATAAAATAACAACACCAGGGTTAGCTTCCTATGGCTTAGGCACATAATAATAATTCTACCAGGATTCCCATAGGTGTTGGAACCTGCCATAAGATTGGGTTCTATAGGAGATTGCTTTCTCATATTCGCATTGGGAATGCACTTTTGATAGAATTTCAGTCATGGTAGGCACCATTACCAATTTCCAGTATCCTGCAAACAGTAGTCTGGCCACAAACAAAAAATGCATCACCACCGTCCTAAACTCCAAATGATATATTTCAATTCCCACACTGAGAAGCGCAAGTTGAGTGGTCGGGAGTGTTAAGGATACCCGTAATCGTCGCTAAACATCTGAATATTGCATTCCAATAGCTTCTAATAGACTTACAGTACCAAAAGGGGTGTAGCAAGCTTCCAATATGTCCACATTGGCGCCAGCACAATGGCGAAGAGTCAGGGAACATCTTGGAAAGCCTATTGGGAGTTTGATACCAGCGGAGAAGACGTTTCTGAGAAACTTCCCAGTGGTTGATACATGAGATGAATGAGCCTTAATGGCTAGTTTCCATTGTTCATTACTAAAGTCAGAGTGCAGCTCTGTTTCCCATTTAAGCATAGAGGGCACTTTACTAAAGTGGGATTGGGCCTGCAAAAGGTTATAGAAAGTAGATATGCGGCCAGAAGAAGGGTTGGGATCACGTAGTACTCTCCAAATATCCCCCGGGCAGCATGCAGTGCTGGGTAGGAGGGAGTCCAACAAATGCTTAATCTGGAAATATTTATACTGATTGCTAAATGAGGTCAAGGTATGGACTGGGGGTAGACTTGGGTATCCTCTGGTACACCACGACTCAAGATTCAAATATGGGATCAGTAATTTGTAGGCGGCCAGAGGAATATCCAAGGTTACGGTAGAATCCTCAGGAGATGGGGTTGCCACCAAAGACCATACAAGTCGCAGGGCTTGGGGAGTGGGGAATGGAGAAGAACTAAGATCTCTCCTTTAGGGAAGTAGCAAACAACCACCCTGGGAGATCTCCTCCTGGAACCAGGTGGAGTTCCATTACAAACCAGCTTTTAGAGGAGTCTGCCATAAGCCAGAATTTTAGTTCGGTCAGCAGAGTCGATCTGTAGTAGTCTCTAATGGGCGGTAAACCCACCCCTCCCCGTAATTTATAGCGGGTCAAAGTTCTAGTCTGGATTCTGGGTTTTTTCCCATTACAAACAAATGAAGTAAGCAAGGCTTGGATGTTTAAAAAAAAATTGGCAGGGATAGGCAATATCCGAAAGTAGTATAAAAGTTTATGTAAAAGTGCCATTTTGAATGCCGCAATTCTGCTAACCCAAGACTGTAATATGCGGATCCGCCCGCATTCCCGAAGTGGCGTAAGGCTCCGCCCCCGACATCATGCCGTCCGTCCACGCCGACAGGGCGGCGCCCCCTCCAGGGGCGTCGTTGGGCTCCTCCTCGCCTGCGGTCCACTTAAGGACTGAGTAGTGAAACGATCGGTGTCTCAGTATTGAGTTGGATACAGACGCTGACCGTTCATGTGTAACTGTTCCCTCTTGGAGAGCTGATTTTCAACCCAAGGACTCAAACTCTATCTTCAGCCCTGTTGGGCAATCTTGCAGTGGACCGTTCATATCTCAGTGGATCCACACACTACAAAAACGCAAGTATCATGCACTGTGTGGCCAGTGATGAGAGAGTGACTTTATGCTCGCTGAATATTCTGGGTTGATGACACAGAGTTAGAGGCTATGTTGTGAATACTACTGTCAGTAAAATTTGAATACAGTGATTTAAACTGAAATCGTTTCTTTTGTGGTTATATGAACTTTAAGTTGGACGCTATCCGTAGTTGAGTTCCATACAGGTGGTTGCCACCTGTTACTACAGATCTTACATATCTTACAAAGACAGTTCAAATTTCCTTATACCATTCAACATAGGGAAGTTAAGAAGGGTTCGTAATTGCACTTGTAGAGAGAGGATAGTGGTGAGGTCAATTGTATACCAAGATAAGTAATAAAGCCCGGGGACCATTTAAATGGGAAAAGTAGCTTCAGCCGTTCCTGGAGAGCCGCCTCCACACCCACATTGAGGATATAGGATTTCTCCACATTGACCTTATAATAAGAAACGTCCCCAAATAGAGAGAGTATATTGGACACTGCAGATAAGGATTGTTCTGGGTTGGTCAGTGCCAGGATTATATCCTCAGCAAATAACCCTATAGTATGGATTGAATTGCCCAAATAGATACCCGATATGAGAGGGCTGTCCCTGATCGTGGCGGCCAAAGGCTCCATCATCATAGGAAATATAGATGGGGATAATGTACATCCCTGTCTCGTCCCATTTGAAATGGCGAAAGGAGCAGACCGCATACCAGATACGTACACCCGAGCAGATGGTTTCCGATAAAGTCCCATAATTGCGGCCAGAAACCTCCCCCCTATTCCAAATGTCGGTAGGGTAATTTCCATATAATCCCAATGGATCTGGTCGACCAGTCTCCGCATGTCTAATAAGGTTCAGCATCCGTCTGGTTGCGTCCGGAGCCTGTCTACCCTTCATAAAACCGGATTGATCCAAGTGGATAACAGAAGGGAGTAGGTGTAGTAGCGTGTTAGCAAGGAGCTTGGCATAAATCTTAATGTCCATATTAATTAAAGATATCGGTCTGAAATTTTTTGGTGATGTCAGTGCCTTTCCCGGTTTCGGTAAAGCAACGATCACTGCTCTCAACATATCGAAGACTGCAGGAGACTCAAAGATATGGGGAAGATGGGGGCTTAAGATATTTTGAAAGGTCTTATAATATTCCGCCGAGAATCTGTCTTCTCCAGGGGACTTACCAGAAGGTAGAGCCCTAATTACTTTCTGTATTTCAATGTCCGTAAAAGGGGCGTTCAACGTCGCCTGGTCCTCAAGATCTAACCTAGGTAGTTTTACTGAGCCTAAAAATTCAGCTATTGATGAGGTTGAGTCAAGTGGGAATCCCCACGCAGATTATAAAGGGTAGCATAGGCATCTGCTATTTCTCTAGGGTTAAGCAATGGAAGGTTAGTGACTGGGTAATGTAGCATAGGTATTTTCGTCTGTTGTTGTTTGAGTTGGGCAGCTAATAGTTTACCAGCTCTATTCCCTTGGTGGTAGTAAGTGGCCATCAGGCGAGACA